AGCTTTCACATACAACTTTATTTAAGTATTTGCCAGAAACTATGCAACACTTTTCTGTACCCAGAGAGTTTGGACTTACTTTATGGGCTAGATCATATCTGTACAGTCCAGATTTCTTGACACCTCTCTGGAATTCTCTAAGAGAGGCTTCCTTGAGACACTTCTTGTGATCCAAGCAGAAGAAAGGCTGGACTATTGTTTGTCTTGCTTTTCTGCAAAATCCTAAAAGGTTTGGGAGGGTTCTTGTCTTGGTCCATAGCCAGCTGAACCCCTCTGAATTCCAGGTGAACTCCACACATCAGATTTACTGTGTGATTTCATAGGTGGCATACAGAATTTTTTTTAAAAAATCATGGTTGAGAGACATTCTACTCAAGTTGTCTTCTCTTGATCTGTATGTAAGCTAGTCTACAGCTTCAAGTGGAACGAGAAGTTATTCATCAGAAAGTCAGCTGCATCTCATGAGATTTTACTAGATTTCAAGCTCCTTAGTTAGGTTATCCAGAACAGGAAGAGCTGTGCAGTCCTTACTCCTGTGTGCTAGCTCTTCTCATTTTAGGCAAAACCTTTCTAATGTAAGCGCTGTATTTGCTATCCCCTTTTTTTTTTTCTTACACAGATTTTATCCAGGAATTTATCTGGCCTTGTTATTAGTCCCAAAGCAGCCACAGCTTTATAATCTTCACATAGAGTGAAGAATTAACTGAGGTTATCTGTCCATCAGATTCTCTTCTCCTCGTGGCAATTGCACAGCATTACTTCTGAACTTTTGCTCTGTAATCTGAGCAACTTCTTTATCATGTTTCTGATGCCCACATCATCTGGATATTCATAAATTACCATTTGAATCTGTTTTTGTGTAAAATATTAACACTTCTTTTGATCCATCTGCCTCTATCTATATTCTTTGTTTGCTTTTCTGACACTAAATTTATCACACCAGAGCAGTGGGCTGGGCATGCTGTCTGGCACCAGCTGGATGCTGAAGCTGCTGAATTGCTCATCTCAGTGATCCAAAAAGTGCCTGGAGTTTGGTTAAGTGCCTCCAGACATGCAAATGTGTTCATAAAACCTGCTTACCAGTTGGGGCTGACATTAAACGTTATCTACAGGGCATGGCTGGACATGCTGTGCTTGGAGGCTGTGCAGTGCTGCTGGACGTGAGGTGTGTAACAGCCCACTGAGCTCTGGCAATCCACTGCCATTCTCTGGGGGGTCCTTTCTGGTCTAACTCACACCCAGAGCTACCCTGTGCCTCAGAAAATTTGTCCAGGGAAAGAAAGGGCGAATTAAGTCATTCACAAAGGGCATCCTGTAGCTCAAGTGGAGCAACAGCTTCAGGTCAAGTGAGCATTGCTGGATGTGCAGGAGTTGAAACCATCTCAGATTTGCCAGCAAGAAATACAACTGGACTTAAGCAAGCAATTGGCTGTTGGGTTTTTCAGCACTACTGGACATTGCTGTAGAAGGCTTCAGTGCTGGATTTCTCGGTGTGGTGCTGAGTCATTGCAGCTGATACCCATTTGGCTTTGTGCTGAATCAAAAATCTCACCTGAAGCAGAGGTGGAAACCCAAAAGACTGGAGGAGCCTTCATCCCTTCATCTGCCCACAGGCTTTCACAAAGAGTGAGATGTGCCCGGCAGCCCTCACCCATCAGTAGGTTTGACTGTCACAGCATCCTGGCAGGGTGGGTTCGGAGGGAACTGTGCCAGACAGCTTTCCTGTGCCTCTCTTGGTGGGGGTGATGAACTGCCGCCGGCGCGGTGCTCCTCGGGCAGTGCCGCACGGCCTGTTCTCCCCCGGGTGGGACTGGGGGAGGGCGCCTGGATCCCAGCCTCAAAAGCTGATCCATGGATTGCAAAGGTCGTCACTTGCCAAGTTTTTGTTGGCAGCAGCCTTAGATTTGAGCTGCCAGAACTAGAAATGCCTCTGAAGTCAAAGGGTACCGGAGCTCCCACTTGCACCCCAAGAGCAGAGCCCTGCTGGTAATCACCACGCCAATGGGGGAGCGATGACCACCACTTTACTCATCACCCTCCTCTTAGTTCAGCATCGACTGTCTGGCTCTTACTTGGCAAGCAGACACTGACCTGTCAAGCTCTGTTACTTCTGTTCTGAGCATCGTTTAATCCTGTGACTTGTTTTCCCTTTAACCTGCAGTTCTGGGTATTCTGCATCGATTCACAACTGTACTTGTTCAGTAGATTTAAATTCAGCCAGTGACAAAGGATAAAAAATCCCAGTGGACTTTTCTCTCTCAAGGGACTGGCAAGCTGTGTTGCTATGGAAGGTGCCATGGAGAACCTTACAGAATCCCTTTAGAAGGGATCTCTGGAGATCATCCTGTCCAACCTTGCTGCTAAAGCAGGGTCACCCAGAGCAGGTTGCCCAGGATTGTCTGCAGGCAGGTTTGGAGAAGGGGACTCCACAAGCTCTGGACATACCCATCTTCAGTTCCTGAACACCTGCCATATAGCAAGTGATGGGGGTTGCAGACTTTCTCTCCTCTGGCAATTGGTCCCAGTTTCACCCCTGAACAACTCCTTTTGTGCCTTATGTCTCTGCTAGAACTTATATTCAGAAGGAATTAAGGATTATGTTTTTTTTTTCCCCCCCAATTGCTGCATGCTAGCGTGTGGTTTCCTTTAGGCTTTAAGAAGGAAGGATCGTTTCCAGGAGGAAAAGTGGGTCTGGTTGTGCCCTGGCAAAGGCTCAGGCCTTGCAGGATGTTTTCCTGGAATGCACACATGGGCTGGGTGCTCCCGGGCACTGCTGCAGGGCAGCTGGGCTCTGGCTACGAGCTGTTGGGAGACAAGTGCCCAGCTGGGTGCTGCCACGAGATGTCACACCTAAGCCACTATGTATAAATGAATCTCTGTAATGTATGAAGCATGTTTGCCATCTCTCATAGTGGAGTTAAATTCCCTTGAGAACATAATTTTCATGAGATTTTTTACATCCTTAAAAGAAACTGAGGTAATTGCCTGTTCTTGCTCTCATTTCTCCTTCCCTCATGTCTTTGCCATGAAAGTTATCTTCGTCTTCCTAAACTGCTTTTATTTTTCACGTCAGGCTTCTAACAAACAAATAAACCTGGTTTGTTTCAGGTCTGTCACTAGTATACATTTTTATAAAGAAGCAAATGACTTTAAGTCATCCTTGTTTTCCAGGACTATCTCACTTGCTGCAATGGAAATTGAAAACCACAAGCAAGGCTGGGGGAAGGTGGGGGTTTCATTGGGCATTGTTAATAACGTCCAATTGTAGAGTCAAAATCCCACTGTGGAGCAATTTGACCCTGTTGCTAAAAGTGTACTTTAATGTTGGTGATAATCCTTCACTACTCCTGAGGGTCAGGCAGAGGGAAGGGAGCCGAGGCCAGGAGGGTGTTAGTGCAGCGAGTTGTTCTTGGCCCCTTCCTCACGTCCCAGCCACGCACACAGGAGCCCGAGCCTGGAGGTCAGCCTCAGCCTGCAGCCACAGGGCTCTGCTCATGCCTAATTCTCACTCTGAAACTGGGAAAACTTTCAGAGTGAACACTGGCAACTTCCAGCAGCCTCCAATCTTAATGCTCTTCAATCATTTTTTCTTTTTTTATATATATGCATAGGAATTATAGTGGCTTATTTAAAGAGTTGAGTGTATTTATGAAGAAACATGGCCTTTATGTGCAACAAGAATTTAACTCGTAGCAAAATCCTTTTCCTCTTAGGAAATGAGACATCTCCCAGTCGGTAGGCTCTGGATAAAATAAGTGGTCTTACAGTAAATGAACCAGTTTCCCTGACATTTTTTATTGGAAAACTGAAGGATGTGGGGAAGCCAGCAGCACACTAACCAGGAGCCCGGGCTGGATCTGAGCACACTGCTGCCCTCTGCCTCCTCCGCTGCCATCAAAGGCAAGTGCTTTACAAATAGGAAATAATGACTGTTTTTTCAGTGATAAAACTCACAGCGATCTTAAAGACAATGGGAACCTTTATTTTGATTCTTTTCAATGTATTGCTGTTGTCCTTCTTTGATGCAAACTTAACTGTAAAACACTCTTGAGATACTGCATAGAAAATACACATAGGGAAAAAACATATATACATTTTCATAAAAATAGAATACATCTTGGCAACATTACTTGTGTACAGTGTATTGACATTATGGAACCAAACTTACATCACCTTTTGGAGAAAAATGTTCCATTTGTTAAAAAAAAAACAAACAAAACCAAACACATTTAAACTGCGTTTGGGCGTACTGCAATGGATATGGTTCTGAGCTAAATAAATGGCTATACCAGATTGTCAGAGTAAAAAAGAACTTATAAAATACCTGTTGTATAAAGTAGAAGTAGCCACGTTGGTTTTTCCTCCAACAAATACTGACATCTCTAAACTTACATGGAAATTAAATGCACCAGTTCCAAATTCTACTGTAGGTTCTTGAGCTGAAAACATGCTTTAATATCATTTGTTTCAGCATTTGCCACCATTAGGTATGGTGGTATTTGTTTTTTTGAGCACACGACATAGCATATTACAGCCCTAATTCTATCAGGTATTTGATAAGAAAAAAAATAATCTAATAGATATAAAATTGTAAAACACTTAGCAACCTTTAAAGTATGTAGACTTGAAATTAAGCTGGTTTTTTTTGTCTTCTGGTTTGGCTTTTCTTTAGCTGCTTTCAGCAGAGGCTGCTCCTTGCTTACTGCTTTGACCACATCAGCTCATACTTAAGATTTTTCTGCTGGTTTTCAGAACAAACCGTGTAAAATGACTACTCCAGTGTAATAAATAAAGCAAGTGGTAACAGGTCCTCAAAGCCACGGGTTTTCCTCTTGAGTGGGAATAAGGGGACTGAATGGGCAGCCTCGGGGAAGGAGGGACAAAGAGAAGAGCATCGTAGCACCGCTTTCGGGCGACGGTTCACAACTGGGGGCGGCGGCTCAGCCTGGGAGCAGTACTACCCACCGGGGTTCGCTGTCTGGCTGTCCCTGCCTGGGGGCTCAGTAGGGGTAGGCTGACACAGCTACATAAACAATGAAAGTCGTCCGGTACTCCACGCTGCCCTCGGCGCTGTAGGAGGCGGCCCGGACCCCCATGCGGTACGTCTGGGGCTCGCGCAGCGCGCGGGTGGTGAACACCACCCCCTTCAGGTTCTCGTCTCTCAGGGCGAAGGGGATGGCTGGGTCCTCCTCTGCCATTAGGAAAGTTGTCCTGGGGTGCACCACTTGATCGTGAGTGTAGGCAACCAGCCGGATCAGATCCTGACCGGCCGCTATGCCGAAGGGCAGGGAGAGGAGCTTGTACTCCAAGGCGTAGGTACTCAGGTCACACTCCAAGTCATTGGCCGGGCAGTTTTTGAGACAGAACCTAGGAATAAACAGCAAAATTTGGAATGAAACAGGGCAGAGTAAGTTTTATGTCTGTTAATCAAAAGTCAAAATGGGTGACTGTCAGTGCTAACAGAAAGATCAAAACCAATTAATATACTTTTTTCCAGAACAGCAAAGCAAAGTAACTTAAAATGACCAACCTTACTGTACTGTTAATTTCATGACTAAAAGAGTATTTTAAGTGATTTGAACTTGATGGTAAGTTAAGCCTTCGAAGAAGTCAATACACTGTACACAAGGACATCTGAGCTTGAGGTGGGTGACAAGGGGCTGAAACTAAAACATACCCAGAAAGAGGGTCTCGCTGATAGTTTGGTGGACAAGGTGTGTCTATGCACTGGTAGCTTCCTCTCATGTTGAAACACATCTGATTTGATCCACAGTTAATGTTCTGTTCAAGGCACTCATCAATATCTGAATATAAAAAAACATGCAAATAATCAGCTGCTGGTACTTGGATGTTAATCGTGGAGTCACAGAATGGTCTGAGGTGAAAGGGACTTTCAAGCTCATCTAGTCCAACCCCACTGCAGTGAGCAGGGACATCTGCAACTAGAGCAGGTTGCTCAGAGCCCCATCCAACCTCACCTGGAATGGTTCCAGGGATGGGGCATCTGGTTAAGGATTAAACCCCCCAGCTGGGCCAATAAAGGCCGAGCAGGCTGCAGAGCCTCTGCACACAGGGAAACTGTTCCTAATCCTGCTGTGCTGTTTGAGACCCTGGACCCAAGAGTTCCAGTACTGTGCATTACTGCTGTTGCAACCTTATTACTCTGCAGGATGGCATATTGTGCAAGAGCTGCCCTAGAGCCACCATAAACCACAGCTGTCTGGTCAAGAGAGGCTAATGAAGTCTATTTTTTATTTGGTGGATCAGAAAATCCAACAGTGTCTCTTTGTGACAGAGGCAGGTTAAGGATTATCTTGGGCTTGAGCCTAGAGCTGCTGAGCACTTGCCTGGAGTTAAATGTGTAACAAAAAGTCACACAAGGAGACTTCAGAGAAGTAGTAGTTGCAATTATTTAAGTTGCTGGTGTTTTATGAAACATTAAAACATGAAATATGAAGACTCCTGAAACTTGACAACTTGAATGCCAAATCTCGTATAACACTTTCAAAGAGGTGGGTTATACATGTACTGAATGTTTTGTGTCTTGCTTATTTACAACTCTCTTTGGGACCACCCAATGGGATCTCCATACCTTGACAGGTTTTGCCGTTGGACATCAGCCGATATCCCGGTGGACAAGTACACTGGTAACTTCCCAGGGTGTTTCTGCATTCATGCTGACAGGTATCCCTGGTTTCACATTCATCAATATCTGTGGGAAAACCCATGGACACGTACACATCAGGCCTTTTTGAACCCGGGATGCAACTGAGGTATTTTTTTGTTCTATATTCATACACAAGTGTACGTGGACTGAGTTGGTGGAAGTCGTCTGGAACTTGTTTTCTGATGGGGTTGAATGCGTAGGACCAGCAAGTCCTTTCACACCTTACCTGTATAACTCTTTCACAATTCAGTCAGTTTTGAGGGGATCCTCACCTCTTTTGATAGCAGCCATAACACATGTTCTAGCTGAAGAGCCCCGTCCTGACGGTTCTGGGGAGAGACCGGGACGTGGGATCTGCACAGCCCACCAAGGTCCTACAGACAGCCTCTCCTCAGAAAGTCAGCTGGGCTGCCTGATAAGGTTTTTAGCAACATGCTTAGGAATGCCCAGATTAGTTATCTTGCCAGAGGAAGCCTTGACAGCAGAGGAGTTGTCCTTACAGTTAATCCCTCCCCAGACAATACTGTTGCCCCTCCAAATTGACCTTCCTTCTGCTACGGGGATGAATTTGGCTAAGTATCTGGGAAGACTATCAACAAATGCTCTTAACCTGTTTGGGTTTTCTTTTTTATATGTTTGTTTTCTGTTTTTCAATCTCCCCCTCAAATACAGAAGTCTCAGACCACTTTATTTCAGATTTTCAAAGCAGATCCATGTGATTTAGACAAATCATATACAATTATAATTTCTTTTGAAACTTCTGCCTGGTTGAGGAAAGCAGTAGGGACCCTACTAAAGTTAATCTCATGGGAGTCCAGGCTTGCATGAGTAAAACAGGAAGGAAGGTTTTTGCTTCCCTCTCTGCCTGATTTACAGGGGTTGCATGAGGTAAAAATGCAAACAGAAGAGAAACAGATGTAATGAGAAATTTATGGTATGTTGTTATCAAATCCTGATGGATGTCTGTTGAAAGGACTTACTTTTAAAAAAAAAAAAAAAGCATCATTAGGTTGAATTTTTCATATAAACAGTAATCTTTAAATGTAGATGTTAATTCCAATGGAGCAGAAGTACAGGAATGATAACTAACCCAAGCTGGAGTGAAGATCACAGATTCTAGCTTAACCCTTTCATCAGTAGCTCTATCCCAGGTCTTTCAATTAAGCTGTTGTACTCGTAACAAACAGCGTGTCTACAACTTCTGAGATGTCTTTATAATGCAAATAAAAGTTTAGATCTCTCAGTATCTGCAATTTTTATTAAGGAAAGTATATTCAAATTTTCCAACATTATATATTGCTAGACAATTCTAGCAATAATTCTGGCTCCTAGTACCATGGTGAGATTCTATGACCTTCAGTGCACTGGGACACGCTCTGGTGAGGCCTAGGCTGTCACAAAATGACAGCATTTTTTTTCTTAAGATACTCAAAAAGTGATTAAAGTTGGCAAAATCTGGCTTAAGAGCTGCGTATTTCAAAATATGAACTCCTTCTTATATCTGCACCTGTCCTTCATGTAAAGCAGAGGTGCAGTGGTCCCGCCTGACAGACGAGGTGAGTGGTGGCCCCTCTCCTCTCCTGCTGGGGCCTGTTTGGCACCTGTTTTCTTGCTCTAGACCACCTGACTGGTCCAACTATAACCCTCTAACTCCAGACGGTCTGGACCCATGGACACCAGCTACTGCTGCAGGGGAAAAACAAACAAACCCAAACCCTAACATGTCTAGCTTTTGAGCAGTAGTTTGTTGGGGTATTTGGTTGGTTGTTTTTTTAACTCATAATCTCTTCATGTTTAATACAAATCAGTCTGTGAACAGTGGAGGGTCCTGTTCCTTTCGACTCCTGTGAGGAGCTAAATGAAATTTCCTATACTTATGACCATAGCAGCATTTCAGTGGAAAACCTCAGAAGAGCTCAGAGAGTAAGGACAAAGCGAGCGAACTGCTTGAGGTGCTCAACACCTTTGTTTTCTGTTGGGCTTAGAGTGTGCTCTGAGAGTTTGCATCTCTTAAAAAATAATATTAATTGAGGCAGAGCTTTCCAGTTCCCCTAACTACCCTGCTGTCCTCATCACAGAAAAAATGGTCACAGCTTCTGGCAAACTCCCTATTTGTTGACTTGGAACCAGTCTCTCCACGCTCAGTTAATTACACCACATGAATCTAAAAGCTTCTGCTGTCCATGTGGCAGGGACCAAAGGGCCTGTCACAGTGCCAGCGTTTGCCCTAATGTGCTCCATTCTAAAACCTGTATTCAAACCCTTCTAGAACCAGATCATTACTACCATCAGGGGGAGCCTGGCAAAAGCAAAACCCCCCAGGACTAGACTGGGCATACTGCTGTTTTTTGGAGTGTGAGAAAAATCACAAAGGTGAGCTACTGTAATCAGAGAAAAGCGGGGGGAGATAATTTGCAAACGCCCAATAAGCAGCACGATCCAAACAAGTGGTTACACAGAGGAGCTCTGAAAACGTTTCTGCTGCAACGTCCTCAGGAGACACGAACATGCAGAACTCTCTGAATATTTACCAGGGTAATACGCAAAAAAACCAACCCACAGCACCACAAACCATCAGCCCCTGGTATATGTGAAATAGTTACCTAAGAATAAGGACCAAAACAAGAGAATTGCATAGATATGGCTGACATTTACCTACACATCTGTCATTTCTTGCCTCATAGCCTTCAGGACAAGTTTCTCTAACGTTCCTTCTAGTCCTGGAGAAGGGTATTCTGCTGTTCCTATACTCTGAGAAGGAGCTGTAGAGATTTGAGGAGTGCCTGTAATATTGTTGAGGTTGATAGTTGTCTCTCACAGGGGAGAATTGAGCATAGTTATAGCTATTGTAATAGGCACCGTAATTGGGCAATCTCTCCAATCCAGCGCAAGATTTCCCATCACCTAATAACTGTTGTCCAGGTGGACAGACACACTTGAAGCTGCCGGGGGTGTTGGTGCACTGAAAGGCACAGGGCTTAGGCACTTGTTCACATTCATTAATGTCTGCTCATGTGACATGATCCAGAGCAACAAACCATGTGGAAAGGAGAAAAAACAAACAAACAACAACAGGTAACTATATGTACAGATGCACATCTATACTTATCTCAGTCTGTGGCACAAACTGGAGACATACAAGTGAGCTCTTGAAGGCAGTAAAACACAGAGAGCACAATGCCAAGTAGACAGGTTATTCTACCCTGTACAGTCATGTACCTTATTTCTTCCTCTAAGGCTGCTGGTGACAAAGACTGTGCTCCTGCAAGACAAGGTCTCTGCTGAAGGTCTTGCCTCAAGCGTTACTGAGGGTGAGGTGGGGCTACAAAATGGGGATCCAAGTCTGTTCCCCTGCTTTTGCTGAAAGAGGGCCGTGTGACAGCTCCACAAACGGGTGGGAGAAGCTGTTGGGCCCTTCTTTAAAGGAGGCCGCTTCATATGGAGCATTCTGGAGAAGTATAGCCTAAGAAATGCATCAGCCTGGCCCACAGGGGAGCTCAGAATCCCCACTAGGGTTACTGTACTCTGCAGGAGGGGAAAAAACGGGTAGACTTTACCTAGCTTATTACTGTCAGAAATTTAAATGGGTTTAATGTACGTTAAGGAGTCTTGGACTGTTTTATTTCAGTGGAGAGGCAGATGGTGGAATTAATGTCCTGGTCTACAGCCAAAAAGTTTCTTACTTTATGTTAATCTCTTTAAAAAAAACCAAAACAATCCTGGCTCTTGGTAGTTCAAAATCCTAGGTTGTTTAAAAAGAAAAAGAACTCCTGCTCTCCAGAGCAGCTGTTTATCACGTACGAAAGCTAATCTTGAGGAAGTCATCATGGAGGAATGCTTCTCTGATATGATACATGAGAGCAACTGAAACCAGCCTCAATTTGTGTCATATGCCAACAATCATAAATCATTATTATCAGGGTGGGTCAGCTATTATATGTTAAACATTCTAGATAAATACAGAAGGGGTGAGTCTAAATGATCCTAGTGCCATCCTGAGGACTATTAAATGCCAGAAGTGTTTTATGCACTTGCACTGACACCATACACTAAACTCTTGCTATCCACGTTGGAGCTATGAGAGCATCCTTCAAAAGCTACACAGGTGTGTGTGGGAGAAAGCTCTGCACATTCTTCTGCCAGAGGCTTCTGTGTGGATAGCCCAGGGGAGGAACTATGTGGTCAGCATCCCTGTGACTGACAGGAACCCTCCCTTCCTGCTGTGACCCACCCAAACCAGAACGGGGCGGGGCTGAGTGATCAGTGTGTGTCTGGTTCTGGGGAACATCCTCCGCAGTTCCAGTGCTGGATAAGTGCCTTGGTGCCATCCTGCCTCTTGCAGCACTTCTTTGGCTGTTCTCCTTCAGGGGAACCCCCATCGCTCCCTGCTCGTCTGCCTTCGGGTGTGAGCCAGTGCAGCCCAGGGTACAGCCAGGCACTTTCCACTGTCCAGCTAACAAATCTGACTGGATTTTTATACAGGAAGCCTCTCATGGAGCAGGGCCTGGCCACATCCCTCCACCAGTGCTCCGAGACCCTTGCTGTGTCCTTTATTCTCAAACTACGGACCTATAGCAATCTCATTTTGGAATCATTCAGTTCTGACTGTTTTGAATGGGCAGGTTTGGTTTAGATGGGTAACTCTGGACTTCAGAGCAAATCTGCCTCCACAGCACAGTCTTCAAAGGGGAGAGCGTTGCTGGGTGTGCTGCAGCAGGGAGGGCAGCCCAGAGCAGCAGCAGCACATGCAGAGTGCTGACCCGAGTGCACAGCTTACCCACACAAGGTCTCCCGACTCCCTGGGAGCGGTGCCCGCGGGGGCACGCGCAGCGGTAGCTGCCCCGGGTGTTCTCACAGAGCTGGTTGTAGCGGCACTGGTGAGTCCCGTCCCGGCACTCGTCGATGTCTGCAGGCAGCAAGGCAAGGGCAAGGGGTCAGAGCCTGAAACTTCTTCCAGCTTAAAGCTCCTTCATGCAAAAGAATACGGCTAAGCCACAGGTGAAGTTGGCCCCCCAGGTAGACCTGGCCTCTGCACATACAGTTCCCCTACCTGCTGCCATCGTTAGGCAGTACTCTGTAACAGTTTGTGCTGCAAATCACAGCCTGTGTCTCACAATGTGAGAGAAGCTCTGCAGCAGATACACAGACCAATTTTTTTTCAACCGTATTGAATTTACACACACTTTTTTTGTTATTTTTAAAAACTTTTTGTTTGTGGAAATGAGAATGAATGTTTCCAATGTGGTCAGCTACTCTCCAAAGAGACATCATCCATCTTCTTATCAAATCCCACTAGAAAAAAGATTTGGCAGTATATATAACAGTGGGTGTGTTTAAAAGCATCCCTGATAAGCAGCAAGGACCTGTGATCTTGCTGCGGAGCTCCTGACACAACCTCTTGATAATCACACATGGGGCAAAACATTTCAGCCAGTGAACAATTGGTAGAATTCAAGGTGACAATCCAGAAAAGATGCTGAGGAAAACCTCACTGTTCCTTCTTAAGAGAAACAGGAAGAGTGGCAAGGGTACTATCAAGATGCTGAGGGGACTGGAGCATCTCTGGGATGAGGAAAGACTGAAAGCCCTGGGGCTGTTTAGCCTGGAGAAGAAAAGACAGACTAGGGAATCTTATCAGTATTTAAAGGGCAGGGGTCAACAGGATGGGGCCAGGGTCTTTTCAGTGGTGCCCAGCAACAGGACAAGGGGCACAAACTGTATGGAACAGAGGGTTTGTCTGAACAAAGGGAAAAAATTTCACTGTGAGGGTGCCAGAGCCCTGGGACAGGCTGCCCAGAGAGGTTGTGGAGTCTCCCTCTCTGGAGTGATTCCAAATGTGCCTGGATCTGATCCTGGGCAACCTGCACTGGGTGGCCCTGCTTTAGCAGGAGGCTTTGAGTAGGTGATCTCCAGAGGTCCGTTCTGACCCCTGCCATGCTGGGATTCTGTACTTACAAAAAAGTTAAATATGTATCTTCCCATAAATGAAAAAACACTGATGTCTTAATATGTCCCTTAATATGAAATCTTAATAACTGGAGACAGACTATCTCCAAGATCACTAAAAAAAATAGTAATAATCATTGTCTCTGTGCTTACTATCCCTGTACAGCACATTAAGAGTCCTACTCACCAATACAAGATCCATTTTCTGCTGCTTTGGTCATCCCGTTGGGACACAGATCAATGCACTTATAGCCACCACGGGTGTTTTTGCAGAGCTGATCAGGCCTGCATACATTCTGCCTGCACTCATTTACATCTGATTTAAAGGAAGAAAAGAAAAGCAAGAGGGGAATGAACCCACTTACTTATGCTCTGTTCTTAAACAGCAGAATAATCCTGCTGTAATTATACTGTCTGCATACATTGGATACATACTAAGTAGATCATCCATAGTGGGATTTTAATCCATAAAGGTTTCCAATGATAAATACAGCAACATAGAAAAGCTGAATGATGTCCCTTGGCAAAGAGGGACTGACCAGTCAAAGCTTCATTCCTACCTATGCATTTTCTGCCCTTCAGCTGGTATCCTGGATCACAACCACAGTGGAAACTTCCTATGGTATTGAAGCACCGCTGATGACAGGGGCTGGACTCTTGACACTCATTGATATCTGTTGAACAAGACAGATCCTTGGTTCCACAGCTGTGAAAGGCCTTGTTGTCAGTCACCTGAGTAGAGGTGGGGAAGGGAAAGGAAGAGGAAAGGGAAAGGGAAAGGGAAAGGGCCAAAAAAACACCCAAAACACCAAACCCACAACACTGAAAATGAGAAGTTAGAGACACGGTATTTGGAGATGCATCTTGTGAAAAGTCACTTTCAGTTATGTGACAAGCAGCATTTTCATTTCACGACAGGTAACAGCAAACCCCAGAGAGCTCTCCCTGCCTTGGCAGCCGAGTCCATCCGGGGTCCTCCTGAGGCCGGCGGCGCAGCGGAGCAGGCAGCGGTAGGAGCCGGCGGTGTTGTGGCAGTCCTGCCCGGCGCCGCAGGAGTGCCCGCCCAGCGCACACTCGTCGAGGGCTGCAAGGGACAACAGCCACACAGCTCACCACACCACCTCGGAGTGACAGAGCACACAGTGGCCTCGGCACGACCGGCCATGAAATGACTGCAACTACACTCAGATGGGAAACCATGAGAAGACCACCGACGGTCTGTCTTTTCTATCGAGAAAACCCAAACAGAACATTGCCCCGGCGACTTAAGGGTCATGGGGATTCTGTATCCAGCCCGTCCTCAGCACTGCTCCTCTTACCCTGACACGTTCTGCCGTCCGCAGAGATGGTGAGGCCTTTGGGACAGGAGCAGTAGTACGAGCCCATGGCGTTGTGACAGGTATGGGAGCAAGGATTTCCCACAGCACATTCGTCTTCGTCTGGAACAAGGAAACGTTTGAAAAACCAGTGAGACTTCACAAGACACTGTATCAAACAAGCCCTTCATAAGGGGTCTATGTTTGGTAGAGCCCACAGGGCAGAACTAGACTGAGCAATGGAGCAGCTTCCCAGAAATGGTTCCGTGGTGTGTTGTCCTCTCGTTTTCAGTTGCCCAACCTACACTATCACAGCTGGCTGGAATCTTGTGTCAGCTCTGCAGGACTGGACCTCTACTGTGGTAATGAATGCTTGATACCATCTTTCCAGAGAATCTCCTCCCAACAGAACAGATGGGTTTCAGTTCTAGAACTAAGATACTTGGGCAAAGACTACTACGTGTTCTATATATATAGAAGGGGCTTCTTCAAGGGTGCTTTCAAGGGGCATGAAGTAAGTCCACAAAAGTCTATCAGATGATTATTCCCTAAAATGAATACAACTCGGTCATCTAGAGGAGACAGATAAAATGCTCACAACCTTCTCTTCACCTCCATCCCCCAAACAGGAAATTGTGGGCTGTTGCCAAGGTTCCAACACTCGTCCTTCCCTCCACACAGATCACTGAAGTGCTTCATTGCTTTGCAGGCTTAGAAGGTTCTGTGGCTCAGTGTCCCCCAGTTGCATCTGAGGTACTGATGAAAAGCTGTCTGGGCACTATTTATATTCTAGGTTGAGTACAGAGGTGAAGTTCTCATCTGTCTTTGGATCCAAACCCTGCTATCAATGTTATCTTACACGTTTGAGGTACATACTGCATGCTTTGAAACTAGATAAAGGTGATGTAGGTTCTAGTGGCTGAGCCCTGCATGCATGCTTTAGGGCCCCCCAGCACAAGACAGACATGGACCTGTTGGAGCAGCTCCAGTGGAGACCACAAGAATGAACCCCTCTGCTGTGAGGACAGGCTGGGAGAGCTGGGGTTGTTCAGCCTGGAGAAGAGAAGCCTCTGAGGAGACCTTCTTGTGGCCTTCTAGTATCCGAAGCGGGCCTACAAGAAAACTGGGGAGGGACTTTTGACAAGGCCTTGTAGTAGGAGACCTTGCCATGGCCTTCCATTACTCAAAGGGGGCCTGTCAGAAAGATGGGGAAAAATCTTTTCAGCGGGACCTCTTGCAACAGGACAAGGGGGGATGATTTTAAATTAAAAGAGGGGTGATTTACACTGAAAATAATGCTTCATGATGAGGGTGGTGAGACACTGGCACAGGTTGCCCAGGGAAGTTTGGATGCTCAATGACTGGAGTGTTCAAGGTCAGGCTGGACGGGGCTTTGGGTAACCTGATCTAGTGGAAGGGGTCCCTGCTCATGGCAGAGAGGTTGGAACCAGATGATCTCTGAAGGTCCCTTCCAACCCAAATCATTCTGCTAGTCTGTGATGCCCCACTACCCCTGTCACATCATTACCTGAACAGTAAGGTCCAGTTGAGTCCAAACCAAACCCAGCAGGGCACTGATTGCTACGATCTCCTGCATGGTAAAGGAAGCACATGTTATTTGTGGATGCAAATATGGCCATTTTATTACTTTTTAAAAATCCGTTACTATTAAGAATTACAAACCAGCTATTTATAAGATTTATTACTCTTGGACACTAAAATAGAAACTTTTAAAACCCAGACTTCAGTATTTTTTCTGTTGGGCATTAGAAGCCTGTGGTTTTTGCTGTTTGGAAAAACATTAAGCAGGTGTTTGGTTTCCCTCAGAGTGACTGCAAGTTGCATCCCAGCCTAATGCTTCCTGCAAAGCTCCTCCACAAAATTTACATCATTAAAATAATAAAGACTGTTCAGTTTCACTTCACATAAAAGGAGGGAAATAAACCCAAATCAAACAAATTAGCATGTCATAGACAGGGGGAAGTCACTGTAGGAGACACAAGTATGTACTGTGAACTGTAATGGCAGCCTCTGGCAGACTGCTCAATGAGCACAGGTATTTTCCTGCTTGAAAAATGATCCAATAAATAAGAAATTTAAAAAAAAAAAATTAATTGTTGGAGGAAATAAATGCAAGTTCAGTAAAGGCTTGGCCAGATTTCTGCATAGGCATAACGTGATCTGGAGAGTTCCTTTTATCAGACCTCTTTTTAAAATGGAAAAAAAAGACCCCTTATTTGGGTTTCAAATTGCACAATGAGGTTGCCAGTCTGGCAAATTGCAGAATCATCATTTTACTTCACTTAGAATGTTATTGAAAAGAAGGATCAAGACAAGCAATCCCACTGTTCCACTGACCTTCCAACCTGAGTTATTGCATTTGAAAGGTGATGTTAAGCTTTACTCTGTAAAAAAAGCCCTGATAGTATTTACAAAGATAATAAGACATTCTGGTAACCAGTGGTGAGTTCTCAGAGGAAAACCCACTTACACAGATATATGCCCTATTCTTTAAGATCCTTCAAAAGTTTTAAGGTTTCATTAACCTTTTAAAAGGTTAAAAAACTGCCAGTTAGGCTAGGACCCAGTACAGGGGGTGATGCCACCTCTGTGTTGGGGCTCACCACGTTTACATGTGTCTGCAGAGCACTGGGTAACTGTGCACCAGTCGTGTCTGGCCTTAAAAAATACACCCAGAAAGGATCAGCTGAGTTTTCAAGCTGTGGCTCAGCATCATGTTTTCTGCATATGCCAAATAACTCCAGAGAAATTCCATCTGAAGAACGACTTAGGACATTTTACCCATTTTAGTGCTGAATTTTGGATGCTCTTCCAGCTTGTTACTACCTTACCTCCATTTTTGTGGGTTTTGCTGTGAAAATACACAATGCTTTTCCTGAAGAGCGATGCAAAACCAAACCCAAATGTAAAACCCCCAACAACACCTGACCCCTAACATAAGAAACAGTAATTTGCTTTTAGAGAATGGAAGGTACGTGCAAGGAAACAGAGAAATATTTTAAGTTGACTGACGGTCCTGGTGATGCTGTTAGTGTCAGCAAAGGCAGGCGTGCATCATCAGTGAGAACTACAGGAGAAAAGTCAGTGCACACTGCAACAGCTTTTACATGTCAGTCTGTGGGTACATTAAGGCAACATGGAGATGCCAGGATCTACAGTGAAGTCACCCAAGCTTCACAGCATCTCCTCTTTCAAGGCCATAACCAACTTTTGAGATTATAGGCAATGAATTCTAGGAAGACAGGAGATTATTCTTCCATGTTTTTTATTTTGTGGAAGACTAGAACAATACCTTTTGCAATGGACGCGTGGATTTTGAAGGCCACAGTTTCTTCCAGTGGGTTGTACTCTGTTGTAATAGCGGAAGCATGGAGAGTTTCCACCAGGAAAGGCATCTTTCCTTTGGTGTGATCATAGGTGATGGTGTGGTTCCAGGTGTACGGAACGCTGACTCCATCGACAGCAAAGAGACGAGTGGAATGGGCGTAGAGCTGCCCAGGGCCCGTCTGAATGTAGTCCTCTGTGTAATCCTGAAACAGCAAGATCCAGGCATTGGGCAACGAGCACAGCCACCACCACTGCAGCTTCCTACTTCACAGTGCTCTAAGAAAGGCAATGAATCTGGTGAAGGGTCATGTAAGAGTTGGTCAGAATAGGAATATTGTCTCAACCTTGTCGTCAGAGACTTGGACAACCAGGTACCCTGAAACTTGGGCTGACATCTTGACAAGAGCCTGCAGCAGCCTGCCTTAA